AAAGCTCAAGTATTTGATATGCACAATGGAGATGACAGCCAATTCAGTAGTACTGAACCTTCTCGAACTTGTATCCACACTGGCCATCCCAAACAGTAATAAATAACTTGCATTTACCTATATGAGGTCAGCCTGGGAAACAGGTATTTGAACAGGTCATGTACCTCTATAATTTACTGGACAAAGTTAATGTTTGTGCAGGGCTTTCAAGATAAACTAATGGCTGTTTATATACCTCTTTCAGATAAACTACGTGGTATAATATTTCATATCAGAAATAAGTAAAAATGGATCATTAGTTTTCACGTTGGATACAAAAAAAAATTAAAATATTTTCAACCACTGAGTCCTTTGAGGGAAAAAAAAAAGGGGAAAAAATCCCATGATGCATACAAATATAAATTCTCTTGATAGGGATTTATGTGAGGGCCTCGTGGAGCTCTGCCTGACAGGTATCTTTCAAAAGTCTAGGGATATCATCAGAGTAACAGATGTTCTGTTAAAGCATATAAGATCTGATATAAATTCACAAGAAGGAATTTTTGTCTTGGAAAAGGGAGAAAGGAATGTGACTGCACTAAAAACATCTCATGTTTTGTTTGGTTGTCTGAAGCAAATCCCACAGTTGCAACAGAAGTCAATTTGGAACTAGTACCGACACAGGTGCGTATGTACATACAAAGTCCAGTCTTTTGTAAGATGAACTCACAAAATCCAACAGCAATAGCTAGAAGCAGAACTGAGCCAGGTACTAATGCAGGTTGCCCAAACAAACAAACAGCACTAATTCTTCCATGGAAAAAGTACAGTCGTTTTGGAAATATCTGAAAGGAGCAAACTCCTGATGTGCTAAAATAAACCATAACAAAACAAAACTTCAAATCCCAAAGAGATTATTAAGATCACCTGAGCAACCTTTCATGTAAAAACCTAGTAATCCCTGCTGTTATGCTTGAAGAATTAATCTTTCACTCAGCCTTCCTCTCTTCTGCCTAGAAGATTTCACCACTCTGCCTAACCTCACTTGATGGATTAGTTCTGTTTTGAATCTATGCAGAATTCTTCACTATATTTGTGTTAAGCTGGGGGCTTTTGGTCACCAGAAATGAACTAAGGAAGTATGAACTAATTATCTTCAATACTGCCGAAACAGATGAGAATTGAACATATAGTTCCATACACATTTGTGTGGAAGTCAAGTAAAAGTAAGTTACTTTTAACTTGGATCATTTTACTGATGTGATTTACAATGCAACATTACAAAACACTTGCACACATCTAACTAAAAGGGTAAGGGGCATGCAAGTGAACAACCTGGGGAAGGACCTTAGTATTCACTTCACTTGAAGAAGGTAGACCAGAATACACTCACAGAGTATCTAGATTTTCATGGCCCAAATCTTTTCCAGCCTGTTAAGAGTGGTAGGGAAACAGAAATGTAAGCAGCTGTTACTTCAGTAGCTATGCTCTGTTGTAACCATACCCAAAACCATAGCATTCGAATCAACTATGAATTCTTTTAAGAACAAGTCTCTAAGTCTCATTAATTCTTTGTGCATCCTCACATATTCTAAGATTTTAAGTCATAAGAGCATTATCTCTCCACCTTCTAGCAGTGCTTCAAAAGAAATGGAAAGACAGGAAAATGAGAATATGTACCATGATGATACCAAGGCAGGCGTTTGCCCCACCAGTGGTAAGGTTCAATGGAATTATTCCTGCACCTCCCCCCTTCTCAGTGAGGGAAGAATAATTAATTAAAATTCACAAGACAATTAATAACAGCTCATTAAAGCTGACATGCATTTCTGTCTATCACATCTATAATTTTGCAATTTCCACTTATGTGACAGTGGAAAGTCACATAAAAGGCCACATTTCGCTAAAATCCAGTGATGTTCTTGCAGCCACAAAGGATAAGAAATAGAGACACCATGTCATACATCTGTTTTAATTAATAAGAACAAGGCTTCTAAATGACACGAGTCACTAAGCCACTGGTAGCTGTCACAGTACCCTACTGCTGCTTCCCAGACATTCCCCTCACTGTCTTCATGCATCTTTCAAAAGGCAAATTATGCCATCATGCTGTTGGACAGAATAAAAAATGTGCCTAGTGGACAGGCTCGGAGGACGCAGAGACAGGGATCAGAGAAGAACCAGCCCCTTCCAGGCCACAGAGCTTTGGTTATATGGGAGCCTGCTGCAGGAGAGAGATGCCTTGATCTTTGTTTATTTACACGTGTGAGGAAAACAAACAATGAGACTCAATTGCAGTGCTGAAACTCAGAATTAACTCTTCTGAAGGCAGCAGAATGGCAGCTGGATTAAAATGGCTCTTAAGTCTCTTCTGCGCTCCTCACATTGGCTCTCAGCTAATGCACCACTCAAGGATCTTGTCAAAAAAAGGCCAGGGGAACATTTTTTCAAGCAGCAATTATAAAAATACTCACTGAGCAGCAAAATATTAATTCTTATCAGGAAATTCAGCTTGCTGAATGCAGTGAAACCCATGTGCCAGACAGAACCTTGTAAGCTCAGTGTTTTTTCTAATCATCTTTTTTTTTCCAGCTAGACACAGAAATCTGATCCTCTAGCATTAGACCTTTCTATATATAGTTCACTGTATGACACATGTATTTTATTAATTTGTACTCCTAGAACAGAGATCCATGGAATTAAATATCCGGAAAAAGGTAAAACTTCTACGTGACTAGCGAATATCTGATGGAAAAAATGTAACAGGATGATCAGTTTTGGGAAGACAGATCTACAGTGGAAAAGCGCCAGACAGTAGCTATCCAGAAAGCTCTCTGTAACCAGATAAATAGGTAAGGCACACCAGATGCTGACGTAAGCAAAAGAAAACAGAAAAGAAAGAAAACCGTTCCTGAGGGCTGCAAAGAGCTATAAGCCACTGAGCCTAATATTCATAACACACAAATTGGTAAAATCTAGAATAGAAAGAGAATTAAGGAACATATACGTATAAATGGGATATATGAGAAGAGTTCTGCTATAAATTATAGTCATGCCTCAAACACCTCCTGGAATTCTTTGCAGAAATGAGCAGATCCACAGGATTGGATGGTATCAACCTAATTCAACCTAAATCAACCTTAGGTAATCAACCTAAAATTGGATGGTATCAACCTAACTTCTCAACAGATCACTTCTGTTGAGAAGTTAGGTTGATACCATCCAATTTCCAAAAGGCAAATGAACAGCGTACCTCACCAAGACTACTGAACAAATTCAGGGGACACATTCACATGCTGAGCAGCAACTGATGGGAGGAATCCATGACTGGGAGAATTCCAGCAGGACCTGTGCAAAGGCTTGTAACATTTACTGTCACAGGATCAGCAACATTACACTAACAGGAAAGGGGGTTTAAAAAAGGAGCTACAAAATGTTCGTGGTTATTCATAACATAGGAACTAGCAGAGTAAATTCACAACGGATGGGCACAAGAGAAAAAAACAAAGCACAAAAATACATCTCTCTCAGGGCTACAAAACATAAAAAATACCAGCTTTGATTAACCATCCTTCATTCCCTTCTCCTAGCTTTAAATAAATGACTAGCCTGTTACTGAAACACTGAATTGATCAAAAACTTTTCAATTGTACCTTGGCTTAATTGATGAAAGATCTTGGTTATTAAAGGTTGAGTTTATTTTTTGGAAATCTGCAGCCACTGTATCGAACAGTATTGAAAGTAAGAGAAATTCTGTCTTCTTTTTTAAAAGGCTGTTTCTATGGGTCTGCATAAAGCACAGCTTGGACTGCTCTAAAAGTATTAGATGTAGCTGTGCCATTTAAAACATCGTTTCACTGAAAGACATACAAAAAAATTCTACCGATTTTGGGAAGGGAAAAAAGAGAAGATGCATTAATACTGGCAAGCTTACTGCTATGAATGTTGCACTTTTGTTGAACAACATATTTGACACGCTTCTGAAAAGAAAAAAGTGTGCTTTAAGCTTTAACTCCTCTGAAAAGGAATTTTTCATCTACTTTTTTTTCCCTCAGGAACTTGGTGCCTCACCATCTCATTTCTGTGTAAAAAGTATTCATATACTTAAGCAAAGTATTTCACATATATCACAGTATGAAATCAAAACACAGGGGTTTTAAGCAAGTGCAAAGAGCATTGTAATCTTTGAACAAAAATTGTCCTTCTACTTCCTGTAATTAATCGCTTCCTTTCATCTGATTTTCTTCACTTCCTATTCCTCTCCCAAGTTACCCAAAGAATACCCTCAGCTAAGCGACTGGAGTACCATGCAAGCCACTGCTGTCACCACTGTGGATGTCATTCGCTGACAATCCTGAAGAGGGTATAGTCGCACAACGCACGCTACTTCTTTCCTGAAACAGCATACTTCAGGGACACATCCAACTTTGAAACCAAAAGATTGATTAATCTATCTGTCTCCGTTCCCCTTTGTCACACTACTAAAAGTTTAGGACAGAAAAAGATCATGCAGAGTTCTGAACCTCACCTCCTTAGCCTTCCAAAGAAGTTATATAAATACATTTCTCTGCAATTCATCACTATATTACCAACCTACAGATAAAATAACATAATTACAGTTTGAGTAAGGTCAACACCCATTAAGAATTTTATAATTGCACTACATACAGAAATTTCACAGCAAAAGACGTGTGACTCCTAAATGAAAGATGTTATTCCACTAATCAATCACAGCAGTACTCATGATGTGAGCTGCTCCCACTAACCAGACCTACATTTCAAGCAAATGCAGTCTAAATCACCAGCACACATGCAGGAATCGGCTGTTTAAATAAAGGTTAACAGGAAAAGAAAATCCACTAAGCTGAACCTGCATTTTCAAATACAGCATATGATACAGTATATTGGTAAAGCATCTATTATGATCCAAGGAACTAACCCTCCTAAGGTAACATATACTACCTGGAAACAGACAAAAGTATTTCTTAGCTGTCTTTTTACCAAACACCCTTCTAAATTACCTGAAGTCATTTTTATGCATTTCAGCTATTTTCTTCTCGAGCTTTTGTGACTGCTTGGGAAAAATCTTAAAGTCGCTGATGTAATTCTCTGGGTGTTCATCAGGATCATAATCACCAAGCTCAGCTAAAGAGATCCAAAATACAAAACAAAACAGAAAAATGCAACTGCAACATTAGTTAATACAGGTAAAAGTCAGTAAATACAGTGTAATTGAAGATACTTCCATAATCAGTAAGAATCCAGCACCTCTCAAGAAATGATACTTTGAAGAATTACTAGTTAACTGAAAGAACAAAATCCTTATAACTGCCAGTCAACGAGTTGCAAGTGAAGTTCATGGCTTAGTAACTGTAGCAGTACTTAGCAATCCTAAACCATTTTCTGTGGCAGAAACACGCTCTGTAGAACACAGGCATTGGTAATGTTCCCCCTTTGATTACTTGTCATTCTGCTACCAGGCAGAACTAAAACAATGCACTTCAGATTCTCTTGTTTTTTCACACTGATTTATCCTCGCTGATATTGACTGATTTAATTCTGTTCTAGCAGAGAAACACAGACTCTAACATTATTTAAGGTGGCTCACGGTATTTGATTCCTCTTCTAAAAGATGCATCACTTAAGTACCCAAACATGACATTTATTGTTTTCATTTTCTAAATAAGCCTCTTTTGATTTGGTATAGACTCAGTCTTGGTTTGGATACGCTGCCTTATAATGCATTAAGAGTTTAATTCATGTTAAAGGCAGAATGCAGTAGACTTCCACAATACGACGTCCCTAATCAGACATCTAGTGCAATCCCAGACAACCTGTGTGCAATCCCAGACATACACCTGAATTTGGCCCTAAGGAAATGACAGGGAGAGACAGGAGGAGAATAAAAAAAAAGGAAAGAAAAAAAAGACTTTTCTCCTTGAATTACATCTAGTATTTTTATCAGAGATTCCATAATCACACAGGTCTCCTTTACCATAAGAAAGGGCACTGAATGACACTTTTCCCTGCTTAGTTCAAATGGTTGGGATACATTTACATTCTGGATTCAAAACAGAATTTTGCTTTGTTTATAACTTGCATCTAATACTGATACCATACCTTTTCACTTCAATGCTAGGACAGCCTGTTGTTTTTAAATATCTTTTAAGTTCCAATTTGGTTTTACTTGGACAAATGGCTGAATTACTTAAAACACTTTACAGTGGATGTCAATGCAGGGAAACCATACAATTAAAAAAAAAAAAAACCAATGTAAATTATTGCTAGCAGTGTTCCCACAACAGTTTCGAGTTTCTCTTTATATACTGAAAACACCTATGAGTTAAGTATTTAAGAAAGCCTGCTGCTTGTACTTACCTTGGACAATACAGGCACCCAGGTAGGCAGCATCAGAAAAAGAACACAGCAAACGGCCATGGAAAATGTCCCTTTTTATTTGTAGATATAGGAGGTATCTGAAACAGAATTAAAAAAAATTAGGACACGATGTGGCATCTTTTTGTAACAGATCTAACTTTTCAGTGTGAAACCAGTTGTGCAAATACTCTGGATCTCTCTCCTGCTACCTTAAACAGCAGGAGAAAGAAGCAAAGCACAACCACAGGAAAAACTAGATGTAAGACAAGAGATTTTTCTCAATAACAAAGAAACAATGATAGCAGAAGTAACAAAAAACCCACTAAGAGACAGCACAGAGAGTACTTTATTTAAAACGTACAGCTGTTACGATGCTCATTAGTAATGTGAAATAAATGACAGTAATGTAAGTTTTTTTGACACACCTCCTCTCATCAACTAAAGGTTTTCACAAGCCACCCAGCTGCTTAAGAGCTGCACCATCTCCCTGGAAAAATAAACCATTTAAGCCTGATAAAGTCAACTATCTAGAGGGTGCTATCAGACTCAGTGGCTTCTGCAGACCTTCAGGACATTCATGGCTTCTTCAACTACATCAGCAGCAAAAGAAAGGCTAGGGACAATGTGGGGCTGCTGCTGAATGAGGTGGGTGTCCTGGTGACGGAGAATGCGGAGAAGGCAGAGCTACTGAATGCCTTCTTTGCTTCAGTCTTCAGTGCTAAGACTGGCCCTCAGGAATCCCAGGCCGCAGAGGTAAGAGAAGAAGCCTACAAAGAGGACAACTTTCCCTTGGTCGAGGAGGACTGTGTGAGGGATCGCTTAAGTGATCTGGACGTCCACAAATCCATGGGCCCCGATGGAATGCACCCACGAGTGCTGAGAGAGCTGGCGAATGTCATTGCTGAGCCACTCTCCATCATCTTTGAGAGGTCCTGGAGGACAGGAGAGGTGCCCGAGGACTGGAGAAA